GGCGGCCCCCATTATTTGATGGGACTGAGGCAGGCTCCAATGGGGGTTTCTCAGGAAGGGCCGACCTTTTCCAACAGTTCTAGATCTACACCGACTATTCCAGTGATACCCTCGCTGACGCTTAGTACAAGGACTGCCAGGTTTAGTTACAGATAACGGCTGTGCTGCCCTTATAGATGTAGCAGAGCAATTCCGGGCAAAATAAGGAAAACAAACAGCCTTGTTTTTTCCCTTTCCTCCAGGCTGTGGACGAATAACCTGAGTGGTAGTTGCTGCCAGGGCAGGCCCTGTACACACAAGGGGCCGATACCCACACAAATCCGAATCATCTCTGGCAATGCAGCCCGTCTTTTGTGGGCTCTTTTTTTGTTTGTGTGTGTCGTGTTTTTTCCGGTACTGGGAATCGAACTCATAACCTCACGCTTGCCAGGCAGGCGCTGTGCCGCTGAGCTAAATCCCCAGCCTTTTTGTGGGCTCTTAAAGCCTCTTTACACCATCTACCTGCATTTTTAACAGCCAGATGTTGAACTATTAATTTGCTAGCTTCTGCGTTACCTGTGATCCTCTCAGTGGCTTGCAATAAGTGTGCGGCGAAATCTTGAAAAGGCTCATCCGGGCCCTGACAAATAGAGGCCAGATTGAGGGATGTCTCAGCCTTGGAAGGAGGTTCCCTCCAAGCCCTCATGGCAGCCATCTTGGTTTGCTCATAGGCTGGCAGTTCAAAGGTCAGCTGATTATTGGTGATAGCAAAGGCAGCTTCCCCGACTAGCATATCCTTTGTAATGGTATGTTATGAACAGCATTACGAATCGCCTGGTCTGCGCAATATTCAAAGAGGTTTCCTTCCCACAGTAAGCAAGCACCTGGACTTAAACACGCTTTGGCTATTGCCTTCCAATCATTTGGGGCCATAATCTGTTGTCCTAGAATTTGCACTAAACTCAAAGTAAAGGGAACAGTGGGGCCATAAGTAAACAAGCAGTGGCTTGTTTTAACTCTTTCAGGGTTTTAAAGGGTATGGCTTCATAACAACGTAGAACTTGTCCCGGATTTTCAGGGACTTGAACTTCAGTTACAGGGTAGATAGGCTGAAAACCCTCCATGGTCTCCCCCGCCCCTCTAGCTTCTTTTAATGCCAATTGCAAGGGAGACAGGAAAAATGGCCGCACTCCCTGAGAGGCGGAAGGCACCTCTGTAGTAGCCAAATTCCCCTGAGTAGAAAAGACCGGGATAGCCACCTGTGGCTTAGTCAAAGTCATCGGGCGTTGTGAAATGGAATTCTCGAGGAAACCCCTCTCCGGTGGAGAAAAGTCCGCCTTGTCCCCCACCACTCCTTCCTTCTTAGCTTGCACCAGGCTGGAGGGCTCAGGCTCACCAGGCGGTGCCGCTGCTCCACTCTCCGTGACCCGCTTCGGCGCGGGACTTGATTTTAACGTGACGTTTTGAGCCAAATCCCTTACGGTGGCAAAACCCCTCCAAACCAACACCCAGAAAATTAAATACAGGAGTTAAATATGCAACAAACACTCCCACAGACACAGCCCTGGGAGTCTTGAGCCTCTGCGTGCGCTTCAGTAGCCCTTTCTCTTTGGCTTCCTTGGAGCCTGCATGTTTCCTGGCCTTGGAGAGCCCGCATCCCCACGCTTTACCCCTTGCGTGCCGGTACCGTGCACCCCAGTGCCGCATACTAGCTCTCACACGCGCTTCCCCGCTGCCCTTGTGCGCTCTTGGGAGGCACTCTCACCGCCCTCTTAATCCTACCGGGGTCCCTTCGTGGTCGCCAATCGTGCGGATCCATCCGGTTCTTGCTGCACCCTGGGAAGGAACGGCGGCAAGAATGAGGAAAAAAAATAGACGAGACAAAAACCTGGGACCAGGTGGAGGTCCCCCCTCAGCAGACACGGGGAGCTGCCCCAGGACAGCAGAGCATTTATTTATACCCTCGAGAGGTTGCTTAATTTCCGCCTCGCTGCCCAGCAATCAGTTAAAAGGCGACAAGGGCTTGTTTCCCCGCTCTGAGGAGCTCCCGTGTCCTCGGGCTCCCGTGTCCTCGGGCTGGCTTCGTTCTGCGCACGTCATTACTTTCCAGCTTCAGCTGCTCCCAACGACCAGTGACCCAGGGCTTCTGGGGAGCGAGTCAGGACAGCACCCTGCTCCGCAGGAGCTGGGCCAGCCGCCTGTGCCTCAGGACGCGGGGCATGGCGGGAAGAGCAGGGGACGAGGGCCGGGCGGCCAGGGCAGCTCGGAGGGCGCTGAAGGCCCCCCGGGCCACAAGGTGCACCTGGGCGGGGCCCACGCTGCCCCGGAAGCGCAGGGACTTGTAGCTCGGGGAGGCGTCCTGCAGGCAGAGGTCCAGCTGCGGACAGAGGCCAGAGTGAGGCCAGTGCAGGCTGTGCTCAGGCTCACGCGTGTGTGCCAGGGCCTGCACCGCGGCCCGCTCCCTCCTTCCCAGGGCCCCAAAGCGGGACTTGTCCCACTCCCGCCCCCAGCCCGGCCCCTCAGGCAGCGGCCAGACCCCTCCAGCCCCTCACTTTTTCTCGATTTTCCTCCGACAGGTTCCTCAGCCCTCTCAGGTCCAGGAACACCTCGTAGTGGGGAGCAGAGCCCTCGGAGGAGTCTGTGGAGACCCCGGGCCCACCGCGCCCTGAGAGGGGATCCTCTCCTGCTCCCCGTGTTGTTTCGAGCAGAGTCTCACTATGCAGTCCAGGCTGGCCTTGAACTCACTATAGAGCCCAGGCTGGCCTTGAGCTTGCTGAGATCCTCCTGCCTCAGCCTCCCGAGAGCCGGGATGACAGGCGTGCGCCACCGTGCCTGGCTTGGGTCCCCATTCTGAGGTTCGTGGGGGAGGGACTTTTCGAGGGGGTGTCACATGGAGGGGAGCCTAGAGCCTCGGCCGGCACTGGACAGGGCAGGAGGAAAGTGGGAGGAGACTGACAGGAAGGGTGCAAGTGGACTCTGCAGTGGACCTAGGTGAGGAGCCACGGGGGGCAGGGGAGCAGAGGCTCCAGTCTGTCCACAGGTCCCCGGCCTGGGGCGTGGTCCGTGGGGCAGCCCACCTCAGACAGGAGGCAGGGCCCGGGGCGCTCACCCAGGACGCTGCTCTCCACGCAGCAGTGGTCCAGCAGCTTGGCGCCCGGCCACTGCGCCACGGCCCGGCCCAGGGCCTCCGAGAACATGCGCTCGTCGGTGACTTCCCCCCGCACGCTCAGGGCCTGGCCCCGCCTGGGGAGCAGGAAGGTGGAGGTGCTGGGGCCCAGGGCGCAGGGGGCAGCCCCGGACCCCGGGCACCTACCTGTAGATGAACCTGACCACCGGACACTGGTTATGGGCACCAACCACCTGCACCACATCACCAAGGCGGCACCTGAAGGGCAGCATTGGGGGAGGTGAGCCGAGCCCCTGTGCCCCGCAGGGTCAGGCAGGCAGGGCCGGGCCGGGTGGGCACCTGGTCAGGCTGGCGTGGTCGGTGAGCACCAGCTCGTACTCCTCGCCCTGCTGGGCTCCGGCCAGGAGGAGGGTGCCGGTGTCGCCCTCCGGGGTTCCCTCCTTGGCGGGCAGCAGCTCGATGAAGGGGGGTCCGGGGGGCAGAAGGTAGACGCCCCGGGGCTGATCAGGCCACAGACTCAGGGCCAGCAGCCCTGGAGGAGCAAGGAGGCGCGCCTGTCACCCGGGCTGCCGTTTCTTCCTGTGGGGCACAGCGGCAGCCAGGCCTCGCCCTGGGCCTGGCCCACTGCTGCCCTCCGTCCGCCCCGGCTCCCCGGCTGCCCGGCCAGGCTTGCTGCCCCCTCCGCCCTGGCTGGCGGCCCACAGGTGGCAGAGCCGGGTGTGAACTGGAAGGGAGTACAAGACAGCCAGGACAGAGCTGGTGGCAGCCATCTCTGTGTCCCCACCACCCCGCCCAGCCTCTGCTGACCTCCAGCGGCCGAGAAAGCCGGAGAGAAGAAGGCCAGGCCCTGGCACCATAAGGCCCCGAGGGCAGCCGCCGCCTCGGCCTGGCCGCCCGCATCCAGAGTCACCACCACCTGCAGCTGCGGCCACAGACGCAGGGCCAGACCCCGGGGCCCCTGCTCCAGGGCCGCCCGGAGCTCGGCTGCCCGTCCCGGGAGAGGCGCCCCTAGGTGCCCAGTAGCTATAGCCCCGGCCAGCTCTTCGCCCTGGGCCTCCAGGCCTGTGAAGACGTCCAGGAGCTCTGTGGCTGTCCCAGCTTCCAGGGCCCTGAGCCCTGGGGATCTCAGGGCGGCCAGCAGCAGGGCCTGGGGGTCCTCTGCACCAGGGGGGCCTGCTAGGCCCAGGACGGGCCCAAGCCAGGGCAGCGGGCGTGGCCACGGGGAGGTGGGGGTCACACGGGCTGCGGCACCCGGAGCCAGCGCGGCGGGGTGGGCCTTGCTGAGGGCCGACAGGCCCAGCACGGTGGCCTGGGGAGGAGAGAGGCCGTTGGTGTGGGCCGCGGGCCGGGGGCTGGTTCAGAGGGGTCCCCACGGGCTGGGCTGTGGCCACCCGTTACCTGCAGGGCAGCCTCCCGGGGGTGCTGGCTTGAGGTGAGGGGCTGGTCCTGCCCCCCATTTTCTTCCTCCTGGGCCTGGCTAGCCGTGGTCAGAGGGAGGTGATTCCGGAAGGCGCTCGTGTCTGTGGGCCCCAAAGACACCACAAACAACTCAGGAAGCCTCAGTTTCCCAGAGCTTCAAGTGAGACTGCGAGACCCTGGAAGAAGGAGCCCCGAGGAGGCCCGGGGGCGGGAACGGGCAAGCCCAGGGCAGGAGCCTGCGCTGCGGGGGTGGGCCAGCTTCCGGAACCCCACTGTCCTGCGAGCCTTATCCGACCCTGACACACACCTGTGCCCCCCTTGGGTCCCCGCAGACACCACGCCAGGGCCTGCCCCTGGCTCCGGGCCGCATGGCGTGTGCTGTGATCCAGCCTGCGTCGCTGCCAGGTGGCTGCCCAGCCCAGGGCGCCCAGGGCTACACGCTGCTGCAGGCCCACGAGCCAGGCCAGCCTGGCGCCCAGGCACCCGCGCAGCGCCACGGCGGGCGGCAGCAGCAGGAGCAGCGGCAGCAGGAAGGGCGGCAGGAGCAGCAGGAGCCAGCGCAGCATGGTCAGCTGCACGGGTGGGGACGGTGCCCGGGCACAGCCAGGACCCCTGGGGCAGAGGGGACCCTGGCATTGGAGCTGTGCCGGCCCGGGTTCGAATCCTGTCGCGCAGTGCCTGGCTCACACCCTCATCTGTGCAAGGGGAGTCGGCCCCCGCGGGGCCTGGGCCTGGCACACAGTGGCTGCCTGACCAGCGACACTGCTTCCCAACTGCCTTGGCTTTGCTCTGCTTGGGATACTTGCTGTCCTGCCTCTGCGTCCCTCTTGCGCCCCACCAGCAGGCACTGGTTCCTGCCCACTCTTCCTGGTCCCTGGCCCTTCAGCACTTCCGCACTCTCCCATTTCCGGCTAGAAAGGTGGTGGTGACTTTAAAGGGCCGGCCCTTCGGGGACATCCGGCGGAGGGGGCGGTGCTCTTAAAGTGACAGGGGGCTGAGGGAGGCTCAGCTGGTGTGGGAAGCTCGGGTAGGAATAGCACGGTCTTTAAACTTATGGGGTGCAGAAGAGAAAGTGGGTGTGGAACATGCCAAGCACGAGCTCACTGCCCTCTGGAGCAGATGCAGGCTCGAGAGCCTTTAAACCAGCTTTTCCCAGCCCGGAGATTCTCTTCTCAAAGGCTGTCCTGAGTTGCATCCCCACCCTTTTTATTTTTTATTCTGAGACAGGGTCTCACTTAGTTACTCAGGCTTGGCCTAAATCCGAGATCCTCTTGCCTCAGCCTCCCCAAGTGCTGAGATGACAGGTGTGCATGATCACGCCAGGTCAGACAGAAAATACTTTTACTATTGGCGCGTGAAGCCCACAGGTGACGTGCGTCACAGGGAGTCTGCCAAGAAGCCGCGGAGACAGGAGCAGATCTTCCCCTTTTAGAGACCAGGAACCCGAGGATTCCAAGATAAACATTAGTGTGTCCCTGAGTGAGCCGGCCTCACAGCCTCAGAGCTCATCCAAACTGCCAGGCATTGGGTGGGCACTGGGTGGGCTCACTGGCTTTGTCTGCAGGAGAACCAGATTTCTTAAAGCTTCAGGGCAGGGGGTACTTGGGTGATAACCACGTCAGGCTCCTGCCTCCCACCAAGTAAGAGTCGAAGCCCCTCTGCCCACTCCCTGTGCCTGGGGGTGGGGGTTCAGGACACACACACACCCCATGCCAAGGATTGAACCCAGGGCTTCAAATTGGGCTACATCCCTCGCCCTTTTATTATTCTTTGAGGCTTTCATAAATTGTTCAGGCTGGGCTCAAATGTATGGTACCCCGGCTCCATCCTCCAGTGTAGCTGGCATTACAGGCCTGCATCACCACACCTGGCTCAGTTTTATAGCATTTTCATCACCTTGAAAACAAACCTTTAGCTGGGTGCGGTGGTGCACGCCTGTCTCTGGAGGCTGAGGCAGGAGCATTGCTGTGAGTCTGAGGCCAGCCTGGGTTACATCGGCAGTTCAAGGCCAGCCTGAATTACCGACAGAGACCTGTCCCAAAACAAACAACAAATAACCCTTAGCTGCGATGTGGGATGGGGTGCAGCCAGTCATCCCCACACTCTGGGAGGCCGAGGCAGGAGGATTGCAGATTCAAGCCCAGCTTGGAGAACTCGCTGTTTCAAAATAAAAAGAGCTGGGAAGATAGTTCAGTGCTAAGGCCCTGGATTTAACTTTCAGTAACTGAAAACAAAAACAATGACCCCCCCCAAACCCCTCTACTCTTTATCACCTTCCAATTTCTTCCCAATATCTAAGCAACCACAAATCTACTTTTTTTTTTTTTTTTTTTTTTTTGGACAGGGTCTCACTGTGTAGCCCAAGCTGGCCTTCAACTGATGGCGACCCTCCCGCCTCAGCCTCCCAAGTGCTGGGGTTACAAGCGTGCGCCACCACGCCCGGTCTGTGTCTGTATTCTTCTGACACATTAATCTTGTGCTGCCTCCATGTGGTTTTGGTGTCAGGACAATACTGGTTCCAGGGCATGAGTCGGAAAGTGTTCATTCCTGGGTTTTGGAGAAGTTTGTGAAGAGCTGGTATTAATTCTTCTCTCTGTGTTTGGAGAATTCAGAGGCCCTGGGCTTTTTAGAGAGGTTTTTGAGTCCTGACCAATCTCTAGCTAGAAATTATTCCAGTTCTCTCTCTTTCTTTGAGACAGGGTCTCACCATGTAGCCCAGGCTGCCCTCGAACTTGTGGCCATCTCCCTGCCTCAGCTTCCTGAGTGCTGGTACGCTCAGTACTGTCCTGCGCCACCATGCCCTGCTCCAGTGTGTGGCCCTGAAGGCTGTGCTCTCTACCAGGAAGAGTGTGGGGAGCCCGGGGAGCCAGACCGTTATTCTCCTTTTCCAAACATCACATGAGCAGGCCGGTCAGAGGCGCCCTATCTGCCAGCGAAGCCGGTGACACGCCCTGGAAGGCCACCCCCGGCAGCAGTTCCCCTTTTCCAGGCCACACAGATGACTCAGAACTTTTCCCCTTCGAGGACTCCCCTCCCCCATCACACCACGGAAAGGAGAAACAGGACTCGGTTCTGTCCCTGCAGAGGGAGCCTTTATTACAAGTAACATAAGATGCGCAGCTTCGCGACGGCCCCGAATTGCACACAATGCTCTCTGTTGGGTGTATACTAATCTGCCTCGGTGCTAAAATATGTATCTCAAATAATTTCATAAAGTTTGAAAAAGAAAAAATTATAAAAAGTATCCTTTCACTGCGAACGAGGGTCGTTCCCGAGTCCCCCTCTGCCCCCCGCAGGCCCCACGCTTCCCCTGGCCCTGTGCAGCGGCTGGTGGGGGTGCTCGAGTCGGGGGCCGGGCTTGCGGGGCCTCCCCGGTGGTGGACGAAGACGGGTGCGGAACGCAGACAGCGAGGGGTGCACGTGCCAGCCCCCAAGCGCCCCGACCTGGCACAGCCGCAGCCCGGCCACTGCGTCCAAGCCAGTGCCAACTGCACAGTGGGCCCTGGGGCTGTGCCCACCGCCAAGCGGAGCGGAGTTGAGCCCCCGTCCCCGCCAGGCAGAGGCAGGGGTGGTGCGCATGGCTAAGACACTGGCAGGGAAGGGCGTGGCGGGCCTGGGCCCCAGGGATGGGCATCTGAGTGACACGGGGTGACAGGGAGGGGCTCGGTGGCCTCTCCTTCCACTGGGCGCCGCCCTACTCCCGGAGTCCACCGCCTGGCATAGAAAAATAAATCAGTGTACGAAACCCAGGCAAGGCAAACAGCAGCTCCTAAAAGGTCATCTTCCAATAAATAATTCGCTACGGAGGAGTATTCTTGAACAGCAAAACACTGGTAAATTCAGAAGTTATTTTTATAAAAAAAAATATGTTTATTTACTCACATGTATAAAAATAAGGTTTCCGGGCCACCTCTCCCAGGGCGCCCTGCCCCGCTCTAGGAGGGGGGCCGAGGGGCTGACCCGGGAGCGGTCTGCTCGCCCTCTGCCTGCCTCTTCCTCCCGGGGTGACCCGCACAGGAAACGGGGAGCAGCGCCACGCCAGGGCTTCCCTGCAAACCTGCGGGGTGGGTCCCACAACCAACTCCGCCGGCGCCCGGCACTCGAGGTGACCAGGGTGCCCCGGCTTCAGGCCACCCTGTCACCTGCTCCTCCACACACAGGACGGGTGACCAGCTGGGAGGGGAGAAGGGGGTGGCCAGGATGACGGGCCCAGGACCTGGTGCAGGAAGAGAATTTGGGTGTCCAATTCAGGTGGCAAGGAGAAAACCAAAAAGGCCCAATGTGGAAACAAAAACACTCGCGCCTGTAAGAAGCCGGTATGGGTACAAAGCATTCGGGAAGCCTGGGGCCGGCGGGCACAGCCCCGGCGGGTGCTGCATCCTGTCACACACCGGCGGGGACACACACGAGAGACAAGGGGCAAGGCCAGAGGCAGGGCGGGGACGGCGGCGGGCGTGGACGCTGCGCAGAGAGCCGCCACCGCTGAGGACCGCTGCCGCCTGGCCCTTTCCCATCCCTGCCCTGGTCCGCGGCCTTCGTCCTTCTCCCACCGGGACAGCCGCAGGCCACCACGCGCCGCCCGGGAGGCGCCTCCTTGCTGCTCTCGGGAGGAACTCGAGGCCACGCTGGGCTGTGAGAGCGAGGGGTGGAAACGCCAGAAGGACAAGCACACGCACAGGCGCTGCCGTGCGCAGAAACACTCAGCTCACAACTAGGGTCAGCACTTCACGTTATAAGCTTTGTTTCCGAGGAGAAGCAGGTCACGGACGTGGCGTCCCCGAGCGCTGTCCCCCGGCCAGGACGGAGGAGCCGGGCGGGAGGCCAGGTCATGACTGCGTGTGGGGCATCCACTGACTGTCCATGGGCCGGCCCAGGAGCTCCTCCACGCGCCGGGCCACGTCCATCGTGTCCTCCAGGTCGAAGTCCCCATCGGTGTCCAAGACGGAGTCGGGGCTTAGAGAGGAAGGGAGGGGGAGGTTAGAGGCCAGCGGGAGCCCACTGGGGACCAGGCGAGGGGCCCTGGACAATCTGTCCCCTCAGTGGGGGCCTCTAGAAAAGCAGGGCTCACTGGGCATGGTGGCACACCATGTCACCTCAGCACTCGGGGGGCCTGAGGCAGGAGGATTGCTGTGAGTTCGAGGCCAGCTGGGGCTACAGAGTGAGTTCAAGGCCAGCCTGAACTGCATAGCGAGACCCTGCCTCAAAAAAACGAAAAAAGAAAGAAAAATATGACTGATCTGAATGCTGGTGCTCTCTTGCTCAGTTCTGCAGACAGACCCAGGCCCCAGTCTCCACCCCAGCGGCCCAGTGCTGCCCCTTGGACATCCAAGCCCGCCCAGACTACATCATAGCAAGAAGCACCTCCACTCTCCCAGTGGGGCGCTGGCATCTTCGCCCAACCCCACCCTAAACCACCGATGTCACCAGCGGAGTCCTCCCTGGATCCCATCAGCCAGGGCCCCGGCCAGCCTGGGTGCTCTGTGGTCCCCCCAGCCCTGCAGGGGTGCAGCCCGAGGCCAGCCCACCCGAGAACACAACCTACTTCTGCGGGTACATGCTGTACGGCGCCTGGGGACACACGGCCGGGGACGGGGCCTGATCCATGTAGGTGGCGCTGGCCCCGGCGTCGGCAGACGCGGTCGCGAACCTGCCAGGGGAAGCAGAACACGGGGAGCCTCAGCTTTCGGGGGGCCGGGTCTCGGGGGCATCTTGACGACTTTGGGGGTGCAGAAGGACAGAGTGGGTCTGGGGGGCCGGCCACAGCATGGCCAAGCCCTGCCCCCTCCTGAGGCGGTGCTGAGGGAGCAGTGGTGTTGGGTGGGGGTTGGGGACACGGAGTCCGGGGCCAGGGGGCAGCGGGGTGGGGCGGGGTGGGGTGGGATGGCGGAAGGCTGGCAGAAGGGGCCTGGACACTTACTCGGGCACCACCTGCTTGATCTGCGGCTTCACGTAGCCGTCCACGGCTTTAGCTGTGGGGACAGTGGGGGTGAAATAAAAATGCATCTCGCTTAATTAAGACCGCAATGTCCCTTTCCTAGGAGGAGACACAGCCACCGACTCTCTCAGGACAACGACACAACCCTAGCTGCCCGCCCCCTCTCTCGGGACCACAGAGGGAAGTCCAGCACTGGACCACGGCCATGACCCCACTGCCCCGACGGCCGCAGGGCCCCCTCTGGCTCCTGCGGGCTCTCATGCCTGTGGCTTCTGCGTTGGGGTGACTTGTCACCCCGCCCCACGGCCCCGCTCCCTCAGGACACCCAGCACCGCCTCAGGAGGGGGCAGGGCTTGGCCATGCTGTGGCCGGTCCCCCAGACCCACTCTGTCCTTCTGCACCCTGAAAAGCCCTCAAGATGCCCCTGAGACTGGGCTTCCCCCCAGGGTCCACTACAGCGTCAGAGGGGGGTGACACAGGTGGGCCAGGGCTCGCCTCCCGGGGCGCAAGCGAGGAGACAGCGCTGCCTGGGCTGCAGCATCGGGGCCGCTGGAGGAGACGCTTCTTGGCCATGGCCACCCGGACCCTAACGGCTGCTTTTTGGCCCACGACTCCATGTGCACCTGCGCTCTGGTCTATCAAGAAGTGCCGGCTGGCAGCGAAAATGAAAACTAAAGAAAGACTTTAGAAAACAGGATTTTTTTTTTTTTTTTTTTTTTTTTGTCAGGCGTTGTGGTGCACACCTGTCATCCCAGCACTTGGGAGGCTGAGGCAGGAAGATCACTGTGAGTTGGAGGCCAGCCTGGGCTACATAGCCAGACCCTGTCTCAAAAAAAAAAAGTAACTCAAAGAAAAAATGAGCCAGGAATAGCAACATACACTGCAGGTAAAAAGCAAACGGCCAGTGATAACACATTAGAGACACAGGCTCCAGAGACTGAGCTCCAGTCCCAGTGTGGCCGCTTCCTAGCTGTGTAGTTTTGGACAAAGAAGTTTATTTCTCTGGGCCTCAGTTTCCTTATCTGTAAAATGGGGACAATAATGTGCTCCCTCCACAGAGTGGCTGTCAGGATGAAATGAGGTCCAACAGGAAAAGTGCTCAGGAACGTTCGGGGCACACAGTGGGCACAGAACAAATGTCTGCTGCAGTTTCTGGACTATTTATCATTGTGGTCATCGCCAATGAAAAGATGTCTGCAGTCCCACAGAATCAAAGCAGTGGAAGCGAGACCGTAAAACACCTTTTATGCTCTTCAGAGCGGCGAAACTGACGGGGGCGTTGCAGTCTGTGTTGACAGGAGGATGTCGAAGCAGCCGCCTACCGCACGTCGGGATAATGGAAATAGATTCTGCTTTCTCAGGGGCAACTCCAGAGAAATGTACAGAGAGCTTAGAAGGCGCAGACCCTTTGACACAAATGCTGCTTTAAGACTTTATCATTAAATCCCAGCACTCGGGAAGCTGAGGCAGGAGGATCACTTTGAGTTTGAGGCCAGCCTGGGGCACACAGCGATACCCAGTTTCAAAAAACCAAAGAGGAGAGAATTTATCTTAAGGAAAAGGTTAACCGGATACATGCCCCAGGTTGTCTCAGCCCTCAGCCTAACCAAATGGGTGAACAAATTAAGTTCTGAGCATCTCAGCTAGCACGGCCCCGGCCGGAATCCCGGGGGAACGGAGCCCCGTGGGGCCACTAGGAGATGCCGCAAGCTTGCACCGCTGCCCTGTGGACCTCGGCTGGGTGGGCAGCAAGTGGGAACAAAGCAGGGCACGAGGTGCAGTGTGGCCTGGACCTGAGGCCAGGCTCTCCCAGGCCCTGGCAGGGCACCCCGGCCTCCCACTGGCTAAGGCCTGTGTCCAGGTGGCAGACTTCCGCCCTGCCTGGCCGCTGCCCTCCTTGCCGGTCTGCTCTTCCGGCTCCCTCTTTTGTTTTCTGAGACGGGTCTTGTTGCCAGCTCAGGCTGCCCGGAGCTCACTGTGTGGCCCTGGGGCTGTCGCGAGCGGCGGATGTGGGCCACAGACACGGCCCGGGGCTCTCGCCTGCCCGGACAGGCTGACAGCAGGGACTGGACACTGGCCGTGTGGGTGTTGTGCGAGAGACACAGACACTCGAGTGCACACACACGTGCGGAGAGCCACGAGCGGGAACACCGGAAGGTCACAACGACACGGGGCCAGAAGAAGAACGCTGTTACCAGTGTCACGCTCGCAGGGCACGGGCGTGTAGTACTTGGAGTACACCTCGTCCTTCGGCCGGTCAGGAAACACGTAGATCAGGTAGCTCAGGTCCCCCAGGCGGTCGGCCAGGGACCGGATGGAGAAGTCCCTGGTGGTGAACGGCATCAGGTTCCAGAACATTCTTTCCTCTGTGTCAGCAAACAGAAATGGTCACATGCTCACCATGGTTTCTTCTTTTTCTCGTCTTTTGTTTTTTTTTTTTTTGAAACAGGGTCTCACTATGCAGTTCAGGTTGGCCCTGAACTTACTATGTAGCCCAGGCTGTTCTGTAACTCATGGTGATCTTCCTGCCTCAGCCTCCTGAGTGCCGAGATGCCTCATCTCCCCCAGCTCTCACCATGATTTCTCAGTGAGGGATCTTCAGACCCAAATATGCTCCAAGCTGGAGCTCCCCCATAACATTGCTCCCATGCGAAACTCTGATTCTTTCATTTATTTATTTAGAGTCTGGGTCTTGCTATGTAGTCCAGGCTGGCCTTGAACTCACAGCCATCCTCCTGCCTCAGCCTCCTGAGTGCTGGGCTGACAGGTGTGTGCCACCACGCCTGGCACGAATTTCCACTTTAAAGTAGGCACCGACTGGAGAGAACGCTGTTTCTGAACGCTCCCGGTAGGAAGGCAGGAAGGCACACATCATTCCTACAGCGGCAGGTTAGTTCAGCTTCAAGAACATCTGTCCCTGTCCCTCTCTGGAAGATACAGTTCCCGCTGAGCCGCCCCCTCGGGCTCCGCGGGGCGTCCAGGGCGGGTGGGAATGCATGCTCGCTGCAGGAACGCTCCCAGGGGTCCCCTTCTGGCCATCACAAAGGAGCCTGACGCAAAGCACACCAGCAGGCTGCTGGCTGAGAGGAGCCCGGCTAACAACAAGGCAGGCGCTCGACAGGGAAGCAGCTGGGACGCGGACTGCCGCCTGGCAGGCTTATGCCGTTGTCTCCCCGCCCGCGTCAGCAACGGCATTTCCCGGGCCCAGGCTCTGCACGGGCTGCTGCAGCAGGAGCAGCTGTGTCACGGTGACATGCTGGCTTCCAGTTATTAGCACTGCCCCAGCGAACGATCAGTCCTCCGACTGCTAAAGAGATTCCGGCAGCAAATCAGCCCTGCAGACAGCTGTGTTCTAAAAAGGGAGGGGCGCTGGTGTGGTCGGCTGCACGTGTGGCACACGGCTGTCACCCTAGCACTGGGGAGGCTGAGGCAGGAGGACTGCCTAGAGTGTGAGGCCAGCCTGGGCTATGTAGCAAGATCCTGTCTCAAAAAACTGGAGCAAAAAAAAAAAGCTGAGGCCGCTCACGAGAGTCGAACTTCCAGGCGATGGTGATGCCGCCGATCTCCGAGTCGCTGAAGCGCAGCAGGAAGGTGCCGTCGGGCTTGTTGATGAGCAGGTCGTGCGCCTGCTGCTTGTTCACGAAGCCCAGGATGGCGCTGGACGGCAGGGCCCATGGAAGCAGGACAAGAAGAGGGGCACACGTTAGTGCCGCGGGAGACCCTTGGCGCGCATGTGCGGCTGGCTGGGGAAAGGACACCGCTCACCCGTCGTTCCAGTGGGGCTTGAGGTGCTTCTTCAGCACCTCCATCACGCCGTCGAACCACTGCCAGAATGTGTAGTTCCGTCCCGGCAGGTTCTCCTGGTCCAGGCCGCAGCAAGTGAGAGAGGAAAGCCAGGGGAGCAGTTAGAGCAGGCGGTGCGCCGTGGCCCGGGGAGCGTGACCGGCACCGGCCCTGGGCGTCTGAGGGTCACCGAGGGGCCCGGTGACCAAAGGGTAGGATGCGGAGGAGGCAGTGAAGCGACCCCCTGGGAAAAGGACCGCAGGACCATGAGCAGCGCCCAGGGTCCTGCAAATGCGTTCTCCTGGGTCTGGGAAGACGGGTCCCCGGGTCCTCCCGGCCCGTGACTGCAGCTCCCAAAGCTTGGGAGAGGCATGGTTTTGGGGCCCAACTCAGAGCTGCGGGGTAACAGCTGCACCGCCCTGAGCTGGATCACACCGTAAGGTCAAGACGGCACCATGGCACCGGGGCGCCTGAGGGTTACCCGCCCACAGCAGCCACCTGCTTCACCTGTTTTGTTTATTCGAGACAGGGTCTCGCTGCCTAGTCCAGGCTCGCCTTGAACTCACTATACCCCTGGCTGCCCTCAAACCTGGTTCGACCCTCCTGCCTTGGCCTCCCGCGGGCTGGGATTACGGGTGTGCGCCACCACGCGCAGCTCTATTTCTTTTATAAAGGTAGAAAACGCAGGAACTCTGCACAAAGCCCAACTTACTTGAAATACGAAGATACGATTTCCTACAGGACAGTACCTCCCGAGCTGCCCTATAGCCATAGGCGCTCCTATGGCTGGGGACGTTTTACCAGAGCTAGGGAGGGCCGGGGCCCAGGCGCGGGGACCCTGGAGGGTGCTGGTCAGGAGCTGAGAAGAGCAGGGGGCGGCCCTCACCCTGTTGAACTGCGACCAGGACACGGACATGCTGCTGTAGTCCTCCAGGTGGCCGCTGCCGCTGCTGAACAGCTTCTGCGCCAGGAACACCAGGTTCTCCTTGGTCAGGCCCCGGGCGCTCTGCACCTCGGCCTTGAACTTCATGTTGAGCGCCTCGCAGAGCTGGGGCCACGGCACTTTGTCGGGCACGGCGAACGGCACCCTGCCCTGCGGAGGAGGGGCGGGCTGGTGAGCGTGGCGGGCAGCCGTCACACTGGGTGCCCTGCAGCGCCCGCCCGAGGCTCTCCGTGTGGCTCCGTCCCTCACCACGTCCGCGCTGCCGTTTCCGGGGCAAGCCGCTGGCCCTGCAGCTCAGCCTTGGCTTCTGACACCATGGGAACCCAAGCTAGGCCCAGGCTGGCTCTGGGGTGAGCCCACTGGAAGCCCAGAGCCCAAGAGGGCCATCCGGGTACAGCAGGGCATGTGCTTGGACATGTGTGTGTATGCACGAGGCACACACATGTACGCACGTGCAACGCTGCCGGGACACCTGCAGTGTGACACAGCTAGCACGGGGCACTGGAAATTTCAAGTTGGCGGCTTTCTTGGGAAATAGGTTAGAATATGAACTTTTTTTTCCTGACACAGGGTCTCACTATGTAATCCAGGCCAGCCTCAAACTCAAGGCAATCCTGCCTCAGCCTCCCAAGTGCTGGGGTGACAGGTGTGCGCCACCACGACTGACTATAAAGTGATTTTTGAACAGGCCTTCCTTCACACGATGTAAGGTTCAGAAAGCACAGAAGTACACAGCTAACTGCCTTCCTGGGCCTGGCTTCAGGGTTCCCCCCTCAGAGGGGTCTGAAGTGGTTTCACAGGTAGATGGAGAAAGACACTGCAGGCCCGCAAGGCCGTTTCTTGATGTAAACCACGGGTCGGACCCCATCCTCACTGAGCTCGTGAAAAGCGAGGGGGCAGGCGGGATGGGCGGTTGGAGGCTCTTGGCCAGTGCCCCAGGGGCTCAACGGGGCCCAGGGTTGGTGGGCCCACAGGGTCACACCTGTCCCTACGCAGAGCCTCTCGGTCTCGGGACAGCGCTGGGTGAATCTCGGGACAGGAGCCGGGGACACCTCATTTACCGGGAGGAGGGCGGCCCGGCAACTCCTCGGCTAAAGTCGCTTTCTGGAGGAGCCGGGGGCCCAGGCCCCGTCAGGTCCTCGGACCCTGGAAATACCTGCTGGGTCCTGGCAATCAGACTGGCATCCGCTGTGCAGCCTCACTTAGGCTCGCAGCGACCACGGCGAGCACCACGCAGGCCGGCAGCCTGGGCCGACCTCAGCCCACCCCCGCTCCCCCTCCCGCACCCCAAGCTGCTCTCTGGGTGTGGAGAACCCGTGTAAAGACGTGAGGGACCAGGGGCAGACTGGGCCCCACGGCCAGGGACGCCACTCACAGGCTCGGCGAAGGCGTTGTCCCACAGCACCGTGGCCGTCGCGTTGTTGTCCTGGCTGCCGTGGACGATGACCACCACCGGGAGCGACAGGGTCTGGAAGACACGGGGGGGGGGGG